CAGCTCAGTCATTAAACCCCAGCATGTACTTCCACGTGTACCTCCACATGTCTGTGTGTTTTGTCAAGGTCTTGGAGACCTTAAGAACATCAGTTCCCTCTGTTTTCAAATCACATGCTGCTTTAATAATCTTTGCAGGCATTTATAACACCATCCCCACACCTTCTATAAGCCACCAGAAAAAACACACTTTGCAGAAATCTTGAAGAATTCGATGCAGCACATCAGTGTAGCAACCCACTACTTTCAGCTTTGCACTTAGGAGGCCTCCTGGCAATTGCTTGATGCTTTCTTGCATTGCATTGTTTTTGGTGTCACTTTTTGATAACCACTGGAAGACTTAAGGGAGTTTACAAGAAGTTGTTCATGTTCTTAGTAACTTAGTCACTGGTCATGTGATGTCAGTGCTGCGTGATTCACTTCTGATTCATTTCAAATTGTATACTAGCTGATAGAGTTGGAACCTGCTTATGAAATCAGGATAATGCTTATGAAATAAAGGTCTCTCAGACCTAGAAAAGCTAACTTTTCTTTCTTGCAAAATCTAGTTCACTTAAGACACCCTTGGCATTCTTCCTCTTGCCTTATTATTGCACTCAAGACTGGGACGGTCTCAGTACAACAATCTTGTCTATTGAACATACTCTTTCTGTTAAGAATATTTACCACAGGCTTGGTGGCCATCAGGACCTGGTGAAAAGCAGGCAGTTTGCTCTCAAAGCCTTGCTTTTTGGCTTTTGGGTACTTTAATTCTTTCAATTATTCTAGGAACAAGAGGTACTTCAATTATTTCTAAATCACAGGTTACAGGGTGCCTCATGCAATAGGGTGGCTGATGGGCCTAGATGAGGATGTTCTTACCCTTGTGTGTTCCGAGCCTCATATGCAGCAGAACTTTTGTAATTGTAGGTTTTAGTGGCTTTGTGTTACTACATAGATAAATATTTAGACCTAAACGTTACTGTGCTTTCACTTAGGCAGTTAAATACTGAAAAAGTATATTCAACTCCTGCTACCTTGTTTGTTTCATAGAATATTTATGAAAACATCTTGAAAATAAGGTAGTTTTCAGGAAAGAAAGCATGTAACCAGTGGGTTATTTGTATTCTGCTGCAGTGAAGCAAAGCTAATGTTTGTGCAGTATTTTGCAGCTTTCTTTAAGGTAAATTGACTAACTGAAACACACCCATTCTACTTTATTTAGTATTCACTTAGTGGTTTTTGCTCAGCAGGGTGTGTGGTTAGAAACAGGTATACAAACGGAAATGAAAATGAGTCTCAAAGTTTTAAAACAAACTGCTGGAGGTGCACAAGAGTGCTGCAGAGGCATCAGAGACACTTGCAACACAGTCAGGAAAGCCCTCTTACTGGCTCCACCATTTGCACAAAGACAGCTTACTGTAACTTTTGTTACTTCCTTACACACAGCTATGTTTAGCAGGTTAGCTCTGATAAGAAGTGACTTAGCGGTCAGAGATGCGAAAGACCCAATGACAGTTCTGAAACCAAAACTGACCTGGAGTCTCTTCTCCCCTGAGGTCCATTTTTTTTCCACTTTCATTCCATGGAATTTTTTTGAATTACGAATTTTTGAAATATAAATGCAAGAGGAATCAGACCCAATATTTTTCTTTTTAGTAACATTTGCTGTATCATAATGTATGCACTTGAAAAGTGCTTCCTTTAAAAACTGGGCAGGAAGATGACATTAAATATTTGATACTGCATGTGTTTGTGAAATTGTGTGCTGCTACGGTTCCGTGCAGGCTTGCTGTTCCATGCTGAGCTGTTCTGGGAACCTTAGGATTTTTTTCCTTCAGTGCGTTTAATTTGTGTTTTAAACCATCACTAACACTAATTCATCACTAATTCTTTGTGGAGATGAGCCTTTTAGTTGGGCAAGAGAATGGATAGAAAAAAACTTAGTACTGCATTAATGTGTGCAAAATAATTGTGTGCCATAGTAATAAAGTCTATCTCTGTTGTGAGATAATTAGGTCTGGATGTTATGAAGCATAAATGCACTTTTATTATGCAAGAAAATACAATGAAAGTGTTGACCTAATCACTGAGAGTAGGCAGAACATACTGGTTTCCTCTGCATCTTTGTAAAATGGAAAAGAGACTATCTAGAGGACAGAAATTCAATCTGGATCCCGGTGCTAAGTGGTACCTGTGTTATGTCATGGCAGATGATTTTGGAATACGCACAGGGGACTGAGTGCTAGGAGGGAGAGTTATTTTCCTTGTCAGCTGGAGATGATCTATATCGAGTACTTCTGAAAAGCTGGTGATTTAATTACAGCTGTGTATACTTAATAGTATGTGTGCACATAACCATTTGGCTTCCAAGTTAAGCATATATTCAACTGCTCTTCTGATTAAAAGAGCTGTCGGATGGAGGCTCTGGCAGAACACCAAGTTTTGTAAAATGGATGAAAATCAATGCAGGCCTCTGTGCAAGGCCTAAAATAATTTCACTTTTCCTGAAGACACTGGAAGTGTATAAAATGCCAAATACTTAAGGCCTGAATAAGTATTGATTCCTGTTGTCCCAATCTTCCTCCTCAGATGTCCCATTTTTCTGGTTTATTTTACTAAGATATTTTAATAAATATTCCCCAAAACAAACAAGGAAGCATGAGTTGAATATGCATTTGCAGTATTTAACTACATGAGTGAAAGCACAAAGACATACAGGGCTTTTGCCCTCAGTGCACCTGCAGTAGTAATACCCACACAGTTTATACGCCAGCAAGATTCTTTAGGTAATGAATGAAATTATGTGAGAATGTGAACAAGGAATGCATAAACTTTGGTTCATGCTATAAAGCTGAGAACTTGTAGTTTAAGTAAAAAGGCAGCTCAAGAAATTTAGTTACTTGGGATCTATACTGCTCTCATTTATGGGGCTGTAAGGCCAGGCAGACTTTCACCTCTCCTGAATCTCTGTAGGTGGAATTGCTCCTTACTATGTGTATACACTTTACTAAGTGTAAATACAGGAGGTGGACTCAGAAAATGTTTTTCATGTTGAGTGTTGAAGATCATCTGATGCTTAAAGTTCTCATTCTGGGCTTGACAGTGCTGAGTGGGTTGCTGCATATCTACATAGGCTCTGCCAGAATTTACCAAGCAGGTTTTTTCTGCTTGCCATGCCTGAGAGGCTGGCTGTAGTAAGATACTTCAGGACTGTTTATTGTATTGAGTTTCCTCCAAACTGACTACGCTTTTGCTAGAAGAATGAAGTTACTCACAGTAGGTATATGATACCCAGCATGTCCTCTGCTTTCAGAGCTTCAAGCAGTCAGCTAAAACAATAACTTCACTTGTAAACTACAAATCTAGGCCATTCTGAGTCACCTTCCTACTGAAGCAGATGTACTCTGCCTGAAACAGAGTCAGCCTGTCTGCCAGCTTAAACTGAATTTGATAGAAAGATAGGAATCTTAAAAGAAGATTTTGTAGAAGAGAGACATCCAGATTGGTGTCCAGATTAATGCAGGAGCAGCTGTGTGAGTCCAGCAATGGTTTGATTTGATCTGCTGTCTGGCCAGTCAGCCTGGATTCAGCCAGAGCATGTGGTGCTTTGGTGTAGCTGATAGCTTTAAGCAGCAGTGTGGAGTTGGAGCGTTGTTGTGGGGAAGAGAACGAAATTATATTCAGGGGAGAATATGGGGATAAAGGGCATGAATAGGACTGTTCTGGAGTGAAGAACAGAGGAGGCAGATCTGCAGGAAATCAGGCTTTATTAGTTCTGCCCTAGATCCAATGTGTTGTTCAAACGGAAAGGCTTGGGCTCTGGGGTTCTCTCTTTGCACGTGGTACCTTTCGGTAGAAGGGCGTGGAAACTCTTGCTCAATGACTAACATGCATTATATTGTTTTGCAAGTGGGCTAAGTTTAATGTTCCTTTTTGGGGTTGTGCAATTAAATTTTTTTTTTCCCCTCTAGTAATAGGTGCCATTACATATGTACAAATTTGCTGTTTTGCCTACCTCTTCCATTTTGCCTTATTGTGCATTCCTACTGTATATTGTCCCTGTTATTGCTGTTTTAAGTGATAACTACATTTATTCTCATAGAGGGTGATGTATTTAGAATGGCTCAAAACAAATTTTCTTTTGTGTTTGAAAGCGTTTCTAATTCCAATGCAAACTACTTAGTTTCTGTCATGGCAGGCTCTAGAAAAACATTATCTGTTAATATTTACAAACACTTTCACTACTCTGATTTGTTACAGAAATAGAAACTTTTTAAAATGTTCTGCTACATTTGATGTCCTTAATCATTTCTGATTATGGGAAAAATCCTCACAAGACCCAGAAGATAGACATAGCCTAAAAACCTTCTTCAAGTGAAGTCCTTGTAACGCATAGTTCAAGGAAACGGGGTAGGACTTCTCAGGTCCACCACTGGGAGTATGCACAGCTTAACCTCTGGGCTTCTGCACATGTTATAGCTCATTGTATGCGCATCAAGGTGTAGATCCTAACCTGTGCATGTACTTCAGTGTTATGTATGTCAGCTGTACAAAAATACCTCACAAACAATTAAGAATATCACCATTTTGTTGGATCAGTCATGCCACAGACTGACTGGTATGGATCAGTAACTGAATTCTTTTGCTCTGCATGTCATTAATTTCTTTCAAAGGTTATACTCATCTGCCTAAAGTTAAGTGCGTTGCTGGGCTGAGATCATTGTGTATAATTATCTGGATATTTTGAGTGCTTTTGAGACAAGCTGGTTTTTTGCTTGCCCTTTTTTTGGGTGGGGGAGGGAGGGGAAAAGGTCTTCCAAATTCAGGTAGTGGAATATAATAATTGTTATATAGCTCTCAACAGAAAAATGATGCACTTCCTAAGTTAGTAAGTTTCTGCTATCTTAGAAATAGCATAAGTGAACAGGCCTGATTGGAATTTGTGTTCTGAAAAAGCCTCTTGCAAGTTGTTTACTAAGGTACACCAAGATTTCAATATGAATACTTCTTTTTTTCAGATTCAGAAGGAAATGCATGTCAAAACAACCAGCTGCTAAAGATAATTCTGGCCATGCATCAGTTTATCATCTCCTCTGCAGACATGCTCCAGAAAGTCATTGATCTATATCCTTTCTCATATTCGCCTGCTGTTAAGGTAATATTAGATAACTTGAAAACCTTGCAATGGGTAAGTAGAGCATATTTAATCTATGGGCATATTACTGTTCCAGTAATTAAACAATATACTTGTGTTTTACAGTTTTTGGTTGTATAGCGTGGTTTTGTTTGGTTTAGGGTTGGGTTTTTTTGCTTGCATGTTTGGGTAGGTTGTCATCCACAGAGAAAAAGATGAAACTACAATTCAGATTTTAAGTAGGATAAATCATCCCCTATTGGCCATGGGGGGAATATCTAGCAGGTGTTAAATTAGTGTAGGCACCTCAGTTAGGTACTGTGAACCTAGGCCCAAGTTTCAGATCTCTTGCTCTTTCTGTCCTCCATACAAGTAGAATAGCAAAGAACGAAAGTGTAATTTTTGAAAATATTCTGATTGAATCATCTGGAGATAAATATTTTCAGCAAATATTATTTCTCACTTGTCCACTCAAAATTACAGTGCACTGAAATAAATCATAAGCTTTTCTTTCCTATTTCTTCCCATTTTGAGGAGACTGCCTGGACTTACACATCTATGTTTCTGGCTCATTAGATTTTTCACAATGAAGCTACTAGATCATATTGGCAATACAAGCCTTTCTTAGGGATTTTAAATTGTGGAATATAATATCTGACATTCTTAGCTTTACAGAATAGAATGTTTACTCCTAATTAGGTGTGCACAGTACAGGAAGCAAACTTGACATGCTAGAATTTCCAGCCGATTTTGGTACAATTTAATTTAGATAATCCTTTCTTGCCCCAAACTCTGTGTCTTACTGGCTTTTAAAAGCAGTATCATTTACAACAGAGCTTTACTGTAGTGTTGGATTCTGACTGTCCTGCTGCTTTCCTAACCGTAAGTGTTACACCAAGTTTGCTGAGCTACAGCTGTTCATGCACTCTATGAAAATGTAAGAAAGTAATTGCTTGCAATGTTTCTGAGAAGTAACATTTTCTGCAGCCAGAGAACTAATTCAAACTTTTCTCAGACTTGCCTATTTTGCAAGTTTGGGGTTTTTTGGCTCTGTGCATAGCTCCCTGTAAAGATATTGAAGGGTAAAGACAGTTTTGAATGGATCAGATAGTCAGGGCTCTTGTATTTTGAAAAACCTTGCAAATGCCCCGGTTTCACCATTTTCCATCCCCTAAATTACCTGAGTGATTTTTAGATGGTTGCAGATGATTTGTAAGCCATCTGACTTCAGACATTCAGTTTGGGGCCCTTCAAAATATTTGGGAACTTATTCAGACCTCAGTAGTTCAGTAATCAGCCTAATTTAAGCACTTAATATGGGTGCTTAAATTGTGGATGGTATGTCCCCTCAGTTACAATAGATTTAGGTTACAGTTGATTTCAATCAGATTGTGACAGGATCCACAAGGTATTTTCATTAAATGATGTTTTTTAATACTGAAAACGTGTGCAATCTGCCGCAGAAGAATCAAGATATGCATCATACTTTTTCCAAATGGATTTTCCATGTCTTCAAAAGACATTGGCTGCAATATCAAAACATGTTTTATAATGCTAATTGACTACAAACACGTGTGTTTTTTTCCAGTCATCACAGCAAGTCAAATGTAAACTGTTTCGTAGTTAGAAAGGTGAGGTTAGCAAGCAGAGGCATTTGTCACTTTTCTATACCATTGTATACAGCTGGTTATGTTTAAAAGAAAGCAGCATCTTTGTTTTGAAAAAGCTCCAGTGAATCATAATTAACTGGAAAAAATTTCTTCATAAAAACAACAATTGATAAATTTGGTATTACTGTTTCAAATTTTAATGAGATGTACAAGTGCGTGAGTTTCATTTGAAATTGTGAGGCCTGTTGCAAAGAAACTCATGTAGAAAGCAGAATTATTTCACTACTTAACATTACTCAGTACTAGGGTGGCGACTTCAGTATTACTCATAGGAGTCCTTTTTACAGCCAACTTTTGCTAACGATTTTGGGATATACTTAGAATACACTTGGGTAAAACCCTAATCTAATATTATATGCCAACAGTAGAATGATTCCTATTGCTTACAGGTAGGGAAGTGTCAAGCATGTTACATTTCATATCATATGTGAATGGAGGTGGTTTTCCTTAACTGTTTTCTACCTATCTTAATGCTTTAGAAGATAAATCTTCCATGCTCTGTGTAAAGATATGCTATTTTGTGAGGTAAGAATGTTCTTGCTTGGTAGCTATTAGTCTGCAGCTATCGTGTGCCATACATAAGAATGCTTTTGCATATCTTAAGATGACAATAAAAAGGCAAACAGCTGTACTGCTTCATCTTTTCAAGGTCCACTTCAGCAGCTTTGCACAAAAAGGCCCAACCAGCTTTGTCCAGATCCACTGACGTCAGTGAATGAATTTCTGGGTCACAGTTTTGAACTGAGTCTGGATGAATCCGTATCTTAAAGATCAGTGAAAATTGACAGTGCTCAGGAATTGGTAGCATTGTGTCTAATATTATTATATAGGTTTATAAAAATAGATGCAATATTCCACTTCATTTTTTTAATATTAAGCAAAACTATTGTATTTGGTGGGTAATTCTCCTTGGTATTTCTACTGTAGTCACTTGCAATGATCCTGGATCATGGTTTGTGTTTTTTTTTTTAATTAGTAAAGAGTAAATTTGAATAGTAAAGCTTGATATCTTAGTTTAGAGAAAACAGAAGAGAGGAAGAAAAGATGCAACTCTGATAGTAGATTAGCATATGATATCCCTCTTTTACACAGAATGGGAAATAAGCAGTAACAGTTAGGAAAGTAAAATTTATTTTAAATGGTGATGATTTCATTAAATCAAACCAGGTTATTTGTTAGGTCAGAATGCTTTGGTATTGTATGTGATCTGGGAACATTTTTGCTTCTAGGCAAATTCATACATGCATGCATCCGTAAGACTGTGCATTTAGTTTTTTCCAACAAGCACAGATTTTTACATGCATGGGTGTACTGGGTCTGGCAGGGATGGAGTTCACTTTCTTATAGCAATCCCTATCATGCTGTACTTCGCATTTGTCAGTAAAACACAAACCTTTTAGCTGTTGCTGAACAGGGATTGCATAATGTCAAGACTTCGTGTGTCTCACTCTGCCTCCCTCCCAGCTCCTCCAGAGTGTGGGCTGGGCTTGAAGGAAGGGACACATCTGGGACAGCTGACCAGAACTGACCAAAGGGGTGTTCCATGCCATACAGCATCATGGTCAGCAATAAAATTTGGAGGGGGGGAGTCCTTTCAAAGTAGCTGTTGCTCAGATACTGGCTGGGCATCTTGTGGGAGATGGCGAGTGACTGCCTTTGCATCACTTGGTTGGTTGGTTGGCTTTTTTCTTTCATTCGCTTATTAAACTGTCCTTATCTTGACTCACATGTTTTTCACACTTCTGCCCTTCCTATTCTCTCCCCCATTCTGCTGCAGGGGGGAGGAATGAGTGAGCATCTGGGTGGGTACTTAGTTGCTGGCCAGGGTCAACACACCACAGTGGGTGACAAGTCACATACAGGAATTGAAATATAAAATATATAACTGAAACAATTCGAATGCCCAACATAGGAAAGTGTAGTTCTTTGAAATTATTTTGTGTGTGTGAGACTAAATCACCTGTAAACTATTAAATATATTTAATTAGTATATTTTTCTTCAGTTATTGGATAAAATTATGGCTAGCATATTGCATTTTTTCTCATGTCCATACAAAGTAATTTCAATTTTTAGAGGAATATATTAAATTATTTAGAAGTTCAAGAAAAAAACCCAGCATGCATATTATATAGATTTAATGCGAAACTAGATATTTTAATAATTAATTTATTGCAAACATATATTCAGTATAGTTCTCTACAGCATTAAGCCAGGTAGTTTCTAATTCATTTTTAATCTCGAAATTTTGATTTTTGATAATATCACGGTAGCCTAGCAAAAGCATCTAAAAGCAAGATTTATCCCCTGAAGTTGATCAAGAAGAAATACAACTTATAAATAGGAGCAACTGTCTAAATTTCAGCCTTACTGACATTAGAGCAAAACCTTTGTTTTTGTGTGTCTGTATTTTCGATGTGCCATAGGTATTGGATAACAGAGTTCTGGGTTATGTTCAAAATGGACTCTAAGCTATCCACAACTATGGAGGAATTTCAAGAACTGGTTAAAGCTAATGGTGAGGAGTTACACTGTCGTCTAATTGACACAACTCAAATGTGAGTGCCAAAGTCTCAGTATGCTCAGAAAACAAACTTTTGCTCTGAATTTTCTTTATTCAGATACAATGTTTCTACAATACAGCAGGGTAATGGTCCTATAGTGGGTTAATTTTGATAAGTCATTTGTTATTTATCCATTAGAAGAGTTTATACATCATTAAAAAAGGAATATATATTACATATAGGAACAGAATGCCTTTCAAGAATGGCTTAGGCTAAATTTAACTGCTGTGTAGACTTTGTGCTGATTCTTTATGCTGGACAAATTTTACTCTTTCCAGGGAACTTAGAAAATTTGTAGAGGCCTAATGATTTTGAAAGGTCACTTGAAGTCAATACAAAGATGAATACATTTTGATTGGGTAACATATGAGATAAAAGAAGTGTGTTTATATTTTTAACACCAAAGCTAAGTGAGAAAATATAGTTTATTACATTGTCAAACTCTTTAGAATGTTTTATGCTATTTTAGATATAAAATTACTTGTCCTGTGAAGAATAAATCCTAATTGTTTCCTGGGAAGAGAACCTTCCTTGTTATAGGAGAGTAAGATTGTGGAATTGTGTAACAGTGTCAGTTCGTACTTTGGTTGGAAATGCACCGGCAAAAGCTGAGCAGAATTTGGCATACATTCTATATCAGGATATGGAAGAGGATATTTAGTTTTTCAAATTACATTTTATTATTCCGTGGGAGAATAGCATAGGGAATCTGTTCATACTCAGAGGCTGGTCAAGGAAATCTGTAAGAATTATTAAATGAAGGAGCACTGGATGTGTTCAATGAAGGCAAAGTTATGGACAGAAATTTTGGAAGTGCAATATGTAATCTCAAGCTATTTAGTAATATAGTTTTGTTGTACTTATGTGCTGCCTCAATACAATAATGACTGACAATGTTTTCTCATATAACCTCTAATGCATGAAAGGAGCTTGCTGTTTAGAAATTCAAATAGTTCACTTTTTATTGCAGTAAGGCATGAAAACAATGTTAATTTTGTATGAGAAAGAGAGGAAAAGTTTGCTCTTCAGAAAATAACTCAGGGTAATTCTGTTTCAAAATTTGTCCAAAAGAAATTCTAGGGATTGGTCTAGAAAGCTGACACAGCGTGTAAAAGCCAACACCAGTAAGAAACGGAAAGTCTCGCTTCTTTTTGATCACCTTGAGCCAGAGGAGCTGTCAGACCACCTTACCTATCTTGAATTTAAGTCTTTCAGAAGAATATCAGTAAGTGATTTTTAAAAATTTATTTCTTTCTTTATTTTCAGTGATGGGAAAGGTATAGAAAAGATGGAAGAGAGGGAGTGTTCCAAGATTAACCCTGAAGTACAGGGTGTTGAAGAAGCTGAGTCTGTGTCCAGATTCCTTTTGTTTTACATAGTGTTGAAGGTGGCCAGTGGTATTTATTCTGAGTACATACCTTTTTGCTGCAGTCATTTGAGAAAGGGAGAGTGAACCTTTTAAGCAACTGTGGAACAGAGTCGGGGCAAGGTCAGCTGGAAGGAAGGAGAGTAAACCATTTGATCTTCTTCCAAAATCTCTTTTTGTTAGAACAAGTGGTGTCACTGGGCACAGGAACAAGCAGGCTCCTTTGACTCAAATCAGTAATCAGGCTGAAATGGATGAAGGAAACTTGGAATATTCTCCTAGAATGCTAACCTCCTGTGGCTGCATTCTTGTGCAGTGACTAATGGACTGCCTGAATAGATGATGTCCACTGGACTCCGCTTGCCATTTTTGATCATGTATAATAAAATAAAGACTAGGAATGAGAAAGCACTTGAGAAAATACCATTTTTTAATGTAAAGGGAGTTTAAAATATTTTTTTAGACAAGCTTTCAATTACACTAACAGTTCTTAAGGATTTATCTCATTTATGTTTTCTTTCATTTGATTTGTTTTCTCAGTTATGTTGGCGGCTGATAAGATGCTAACTCCCCTATGCACCTTGGCTTCACTTGCATCCTTGTATGCTATTGCATTACTTCTATTCAAACCTGATGCAGCTCGCACATAGAAAAGTGAACATCAGAGACCAAAACCCAAGATGGTTGTACAGTCAGTGTGATAAGAGTGAAAACAAAGTGGGGTTTAGGGGTTTTAGGGGTTTTTGTTTGTTTTGGTTATTTAGTGGGGTTTTTCTGAAACACTACAATTTAAAGATGAAGTCTTGCAAGGAAAGGGGCTCTCAATAGATTGTAGAAAATTTCACAGTTGTGTATTAGTGTACTTTATTTTGAGCTGACACCACATGTGTCTTCAAGTTTTGTGTTAACTTCAAAAAGCCATCGAACCAGTGTCATGCACAGATTACTGCCTGTAGGCAGTAATAATATGCAAAGCTTATATAACTCTTAAGATTTTCAAGCTCTGTGCAGACATAAAATAATTAATGTTTAATGAGCCTAACAGGTATGATTGCAGTCGAGTGTCAGATGTGTCACAGAGTTATATACTTGTGTACATTTTATATGCAGGAGCCCTGCATATGTTTTGGTATAAATTGGGTTTACAGAGACTTTGGATCAGAAAATAATGTGTAATTAATATATGGCTGTATTCACTGACTCTTTGCAGAATGTGTTCATGATATGCTAAGCCACAGAATCCTTTTGTTATCCTAACATGGTAGTGTATACTAGGAGAAAGGCTGCAAATGACCATCTCCGTTATCAGTCACTGGAATAACTATGCGTAGGTTTGGTCATTTGAAAGTCAGACAGGAATACTTGATCCCTGAGCATATACAGCACACATAAAATCTTCCACAAGACACCATGTAGCAGTAAAGAAAAATGCAGGGAATGGTGTTCACAGAGTAATGACTGCAGTTGTGCTGGTGTTTGAAAACCATTTTAATTTATAGTTACAAAATCAGGGAGGCTACACTGTTTTGTAAAAATCTGGATTCTGCTTTCCTGTTGAGGCTCTTTAATTAGTCATTGCAATACCAGACTCTTGCATTATTTAGGTACATGGACTTCTTTACTGTATCTGCCACTAACAGTCTTGTTACAGCTGAATAAATTCTTGCACCAAAATGATTTTGAAACTGTAAGTCTTATGTTAGCTATAGATTGGTTCAGCATTTAAAAAAAATATTTTCTGAAGGAGAGAGCTGCTGAGAACAAAATATAAACTAATCAAACTGATTCGTAATTGTACTGACACGGCTATGAACTCCATAATTATGTAGTCAGCTACTGAAAAATTACCTATCTGTATAGAGTTGCTTAAATTTCAAGATCCAGCCAAACCCATCTGGGGTTCAAAATTCAAACAATAGTTGTACGTAAGTACTATGTAATCTCAGAGACAGCTCTACTTATCACTATTAATGTTTCTTCCATTTTTAATTTAATAAGAGGACAAATCCGGAGATGTCTGCTGTCATATCTGCTTTTTAAAGTGTTCATAGTTCTTATTAAATGGATGGGAAAAAGTTAAAAGTGGAGAGAAAGTGAGGGAGGGACAGCAAGAAACAAACAGCAGCCTGACAATTCATGACCTTTACTTAAAGATCAATGCCATTCAGCATACTTCCACGGCCTTACGAAAGGAGTATGTGTCCATTACCGGTATGAACGGTTTTGGTAAAATGTTAGTATGTGTGGTCATAGTAAAGAACGGATGTATAAATCCTGTGTCACATTTTCTAATGATTCAAATACTTGTGTATTCTTGTTAATGAATAAATCAAGAGAATAGATAAACATTGCATCAACAAGATCAAATGATCGCTTCTCTTTGATCTTAATGGGAATAATGGCTTAAAAAAATCTATTTGTCACATACAGGTGTCTACTGAACAATTTTAGATTGCTTTGGTTAAGGAAGAGAATGTCACAAGCTGTATTAAAATACTAAGGAATCTGAGGCCCTCATTCTTAATGGTCTTATCTCAGTTTTATATTAATCTCATTGGACTTACTATTTTTATTAGTGTAGTTTAATTCAGAAGTGTGCCCTAGCTACATAAACTGAAGACTTAACTTCCTTAAACTAACACTGAGTTTCTAGATTACACTTTAAATTCAGTTTAACCTTCCCTGTAGAAGCCCAGACTCAATGGATCTATGGAGCCACTGAGGCTGTGAGGAAAGCCCCAATTCTACTCATCCTACGGTTTATAAGAGCCAAGGCTCCTGAGATCCACATTATGCAAATGATGTGTTTCAATTATGGCAAAAGGATGCTTTCAGTTAATTCAATTAGTTGAAGCCTTCTGCTTTGAACTGAACAAAGCTTTGACAAAGGAGAGGTTTCAGTCTTACGGATATTTAACATGTAAAGTATATATTGTTTATTTAAGTTGAAAAGCAGACCTGCATCAGCACACAGATCATGAGGTATGTGAAACTGTAGATGAGTTTTCATTTACACTTTCTTTTTTTTGAAGTTCTCAGATTATCAGAACTACATTGTGAATAGTTGTGTGAAGGAGAATCCAACAATGGAAAGATCGATTGCTCTTTGCAATGGTATCTCTCAGTGGGTGCAGCTAATGGTTCTCAGCAGACCAACACCACAGCTTCGGGCTGAAGTGTTCATCAAGTTCATTCATGTTGCACAGGTCAGTTACGTTTTGACACATGTGGTGTTTATTTTGTCTTTCTCTGATAACAGCCTTTTAGTTGCTCTTCCCATGCTATTGCTGTAGGGTCAGCTGGGAGTGTTGGCAGTGGTCATCTGGTTCATACATACAGCATGTGTATTTGTGTATGCTGAGATTTCATGCCAAGTATTCAGATAGTACCATGTCATGGCACCGTGACTTTCTCATATTCATTCTGAAGAAATCATTTTCACTAAAAACTAGGCTTGCTTTTGAGTCAACTGGTGAGATTCAAAGCTGTGACTGCATGCCTTTCCAAAGCATGAACCACTATCACACCTTTGGACGTAATTAGAAGCATCTCTACCAGATATGTCTTACTGGGTAGAAGCAGAGCTATGGTCCTGTTGGTATTCTTTGCGTGCTAATTCAACTGCAGTCATAACCACAATGATAGGCAGTGTTTCCTAGTTGTGGTAGACTGTGGGGAGAGGGAGAAGTACTGAGGAAGTACTTTGAAGACTTGCTGTATCTGCAGAATTAATAGTGATTTAATAACAGTAGAATAAATACATGTTACAACTAGTAAAATCGCAACTCATTATCAAAATGAATGAAGACAAATGGATCGTGGCAGAAAAAATTTAAGACTTTAGAGAAAGACAGTAAAGGAAATGTAGAATTTGGATGTGCATATTGAACAACTTGAACCCTTAAATAATAAATACTGATTTTTTTTTTCTTTTTCTATGTCAACACAGAAGCTCCACCAGCTGCAGAATTTCAATACATTAATGGCCGTGATAGGAGGTCTCTGTCACAGTTCCATTTCCAGACTTAAGGAAACAAGCTCATGTGTTCCTCATGATGTAATTAAGGTTGGTATTGCTCTTCTAAGTTTTACAAATAAGAAAGCCTTTAACTTTTTTGTAATTGCACACAAAAAAACAACCTTACTTCATTGGATAACATTGAGAGAAAGACAGAAAAAAAGAAAAAGGAAGACTTCCTTTGGTTTTGGAGGGGTTTTCCTTGTCATTTCATGTTTACAACACCAGTTACTCCTATAGTCCCAACCCTACCTTTCTTCAAGATTTGTATAGCTTCTCTAAAGTTTGTTTTTTAATACTCAGGTGTGACCAGCTGCATTTTCATTTACATGCATGGTTGTGGTTTAGGCCCAGCTGGCAAGTAAGCACCACGTGGCCACTTGCACACCCCTCCCCCGGGTGGGATGGGAAGGAGAAAATACAAGGAAAGGCGTGTGGGTTGAGACAAGGACAGGGAAGGATCACTCACCAGTTATGGTCATGGGCAAACAGACACAACTTGGGGAAGAAAAATCCATCGAAGTAGTTACCAATCAAATCAGAGTAGGACAATGAAAGATAAAACCAAATCTTAAAAACCTTCCCCTTACTCTTCCTGTCACCCCTCATCTTTGCTCTCAATTTCTCTACCTCCTTCCCACCAGTGGCACAGAGGAACAGGGAATGGGGGTCATGGTCAGTTCATCACACATTTCTCTGCTGCTTTTTCCTCCTCAAGGGGAGGACTCCTCACACTCTGCCCCTGCTCCAGCGTGGGGTCCTTCCCACAGGAGACAGTCCTCCATGAACTTCTCCACTGTGGGTCCTTCCCATGGGCTGTAGTTTTCTTCACAAACTGCACCAGCGTGGGTCTCTCCCATGGCATGCAGTCCTTCAGGAGCAGGCTTCAGGAGCATGGAGTCACAGACTCCTTTGGGTGCAGCTGTCTGTTCCAGTGTGGGGTCCTCCCTGGGCTGCAGGTGAGTCTGTGCCCCACCATGACCCTCCATGGTTGCAGGGGCACAGCCTGCCCTCTTACCACGGGCTGCAGGAGGAAACTCTGCACCAGCCCACCTGCTTGCCATCTTTTCTGCACTGACCTCAGTGTCTGCCTTGTCTCTTACATCCCACTACTCTCTCCGCTGCAGGTTTTCTTTGTTTTCCCTCTTAAACAAGTTAGTCGGCCATGGCCAGAAGCAGGTCTGACTTGGAGCTAGGGTAGGGAAGCTTCTAGCAGCTTCTCACAGGAGTCACCCCTTTGGCCCCTCCCCTACTACCAAACCCCACCTTCCTCCCCCAAGCCCAACACATGCATATTGTAGTTTAACCTGTCAGGCAGCTAAACACCACACAGCCGTTAGCTCACTTCCCCCAGTGGGATGGGGAGAGAATCGTAAAAAAGGTGTAATTTGTGTGTTGAGATGAAGACAGTTTAGTAGGACAGAAGAGGAAGGGAAAATAGTAGTAGTATTAATAACAATAGTCGTAATAGAATATACAAAACAAGTGGTGCACAACACAATTGCTCACCACCCGCTAACCGATGCCCAGCAAGTCCCCAAGCAGTGACCCTCGCCTCCCCCCAGTTTATATGTTGAAGATGACATCATATGGTACGGAACAGCCCTTTGGACAGTTGAGGTCAGCTGTCCCAGCTGTGTCCCCTCCCAGCTTCTTGTGCACCCCAGCCTCCTCACTGATCGAGTAGTATGAGAAGCTGAAAAGTTCTTGACTTAGTGTAAATATTGCTCAGCAATAACCAAGCCATCAATGTGTTACCAACATTATTCTCACCCCAAATCCAAAAAGTGGCACTACAGCAGCTACTAGGAAGAAAATAACTTCTGTCCCATCTGAAACCAGGACAGTGCAACAGTACAGAATGGCACTGAAACACGAAAGAGGAGAATTGAACCATAGAACATTTGTGCACACACCTATTCTCATCCATAGCAACACTGACCATCCTGAGTCTATGAAATGCTAGCACAGAGCTCTGCACTTGTAGTTTAAAACTGAAAGGACTGGTTTTGTTAATTTGATCTTTCCC